GGCACAACTAAATGGAGTAGCATTTCACAGTCCCCAATTTCTAGTATTATTGGTGAACATTACTAATATGTTTCTGATATCTGAGATTCCATTTTTAACTCCCCCAATTCTCAAACGACCCCCTTTTCAATACTTCTCAAAAGCAATGCCTTTAACAAGGTAAGGTCGAGGGTCCAATCTTTTTCCCGCTAAATGCCCGGAGGCCTCTGTTGCAAATATATGAATTCTTAGCCGACTGGCCAAGAATCGAAGCCGTTGCTGAGTTTAGACTACGTACCGGACACGATTGCTTGCCAAACCTTCTTCACAGATTGGGAGCATACACTCAGTAACTAGGTAACTATGTAACCTACAGGAGGAAATGGAGAAGACCCACCTGATTCGATGTCCAGCCCTAAAGACAACGACAGAAAGCCAGAGATACTGGGAAGCAAGAAGACGGCTAATGAACTGCTATACATGTACCCCCCACCCTCGGGGGAAGCCGAAGTCTAAGTTTAAGGGCTAATGATAAATATCACAAAGCCTGCCATTTGAAGTAATAATAATAATAATCTTTTTCCCGCTAAATGCCCGGAGGACTCTGTTGCAAATGTATGAAGAATTTAATCATTGTTCAAATCGTTTAATAAAATGTTTTCAAATTAGATATCACAAGTAGAAGAATTCTAATTCACCAATCTACTCATAAATCCCAATAAGACACATAAAGAGGTCCATAACATTTGTTCCAGTGAGCCGTGCTGGCAAATAATGCCCCTTATCCGCATCAATCTTACTGCCATTGGCAAAGTACCCATAAGAATCACAAGACATTAGACACTGCTTGGCTCTGTCTGCCTCTGCAGAATCTTCAATCAACTCATCCGTTGACCAAGCACCAGCCCCGAAAGCTGTTGGTCCATCTAGACCATCGGAAGCTCTGGCATAGAAGCTGATATGAATGGGGGTGGGTGACGAGGGGGATGAGTTCGAATTTGAATTGGCTTGTAATTCATACAAACGAAGAGCCGTTGCAAGAGCAGCATGAGAGCAGCGTCCACCGTTAGAGGTGACAGACTTGACGTTAGCTTTCACTGTTGCCTCACCACCAAAAAGAAGGCAAATTCCACTGAGAAATTGACCTGAGCTGGTGTGACCCATACTTATTTGTTCATTAGCGACTTTGGCGACTTGATAGCAAGCATGAACCAGATCCCGATAGTAAGTCTTCTTGTCTATAAGTCGTCTTTGAGCATTCCTTAGTCGCTCGCGCTAGAAAGGAGACCAATATGGGGATAAAAATAATATTCAACGATATGGATACTTACCATTGCATCGGTAACATGGCGAGATGTCTTTTCGGGTTTAGCTAAGAAGACTAAAGTGAGTCGACGAATCTCCCACGAAAGATCGGCGATAGCTTCTGCTCTTTGAGTCATATCATTATCAAGTTTGTCGGTAAGGATTATCGGAAGTATACACCTGAATGATAAAGCGTCATTCTAGAAAGTCAGTTCATCAACCTCAAGTAATCTATAGAAAATTTCAGTTTTAATGGAACAGTGATTTTCGTGCATTTTTAGCGACTCTGGATTACACGCTTTCTGAAACATGCCCATTGATCACAGATGTCAGGTCCCTTGCGTTTTCACTCATCGCTTCTTGTCATTGATATATAGGATTCAACTTTATTTTGGCTAATTAGTTACGATACGAGCTCCTCTTTTCTTACTCGAACGATGACCACATGGCGTCGGCCTCTATGCTGCCTTTTCAATTGTGAAAATCAAATTAAGTAGATTATCACTACTTCAGAGGACATTTCTATACAACTTTTTTCAAAACTATCGCTTCCTATTTGTCTAACCTCAGTTAAATTATTTCCCATTTTACAAGAAGCAAGATTCTTACTCAAAACTCGCAGGAGGTGTTCTACGGAATATTTGTCTAGGAAGGATATTTCTGTTGGTCATCAGACAGCAAGGATTCAACTTCGCAGCTTCCTTGGAGGCGGCTTCAAGAGCTATGTAGAGACTGCCAATCAGACAGTTGGTCGGTGCTGGATCAAGGGCAGTAGGTCTCATGCTCATGCCCTTTCGAGCTTCCAGGAAATTTTTCACTTCAACCGGAACCTATGGGAACAAAATGTAAAAGGCAAAAGAAATCAACTTTATGTACACTAAAAATATCAATGGTCAATCGCCTGATCAGCCCCATTTAGCTTGCTAAATTTCATGCAATTAATGTCCAATGAGAATATTTATTTATATCAAATGGCAGGCATTTTGATAGTTTCATTAGCCCTTTAGGTGACTTCAGGCCTCACAGAGGAGACGAAATATCAAAGTGGAAAAAATTGGGAGGGGGAGGGGAAAGAAGAGTGTTTCAAAGATGTAAAAGAGAGGCACACAGAGGAGAGGAGGAAAATCAAAGTGACAAAAGGTCAAGAATGGGGAAAGAATAATGATTCACAGATGTGAAAGGGATAGACCGACACACACAAAGGCAGAGAAAAGGTAAGATGAGTACTGTGAAAGGGTCCAATATGACGTAGAGTGGGGTGACGGTAGTTTGAAGTCAGAAGTCAACTGCCAGTTAATAGACTTTTTTGCCGTATGAGTATACGTTGCCCAGGGTGCACCACGTGGAGGTAAGTCAGGCGTCGACACCAACTA